TGATGTAATTTAAGGAGCTCGTTTCCGGTTGACTATATGGATTAACAACGATGCATTCTCTGTGAGACACATTTTAAGGTTCGCTTAAAACATGGATTCGAAGACGAAGACACAGAGGGCAGTATGTTATGATGGTGAGGTCCGTGAAGTGAACCGGAATTCCGTCCAAATTTGTGCACGGGTCGACTTTCGCGTACTTACGTTATCTGGGTCATTCCATGTCAAATCAACACAGAATTGACCTGACCCTCTCCAATTTTCATGAAATTTGGTGACTTCATAGTGGCTTTTGAAAAACAATCACTTGCCAAATTGCAGTTCTCTAGATCAAGTGCTTCTTGAGATGCAACAGTTTGAAAGCTGCAAAAAAAGGACCACTTTTGGGTCAAGTCATCTTCATTTAATTGCTCATAACTTTTGTTATAAATTACTTGGATCAGATATTGGTGTCATTTTAAAGATCTCTTCACGCCCTTTAAGGTGATATCTGTCAGGAAGTTTCAATGAAATTAAAAGTCAAAGTAAAAAAAAACGTTAACCTTGAATTGCAGATGAAAAGTAATTTTTATTATTTAAAAAATTACCATAACATTATCAATTTCTCCTCCATAAGAACCAAAAATTTCAATTTGGGACTACCTTGGGATCAGGAGTTATCAATAATAGAATAAAAGCTGGTATGCAAAAATCTTTATGTATTGTATGCATGAGATGCTAATGCATTTTTGTAGGCAGCTTTGTGTCATGTATTGAATAGTGCATGATCCCTAGTCAACACCCAACTGTGGGATTATTAGGTAATCTTGGGTTCAGTACAGCAAATTCAGGAAAGAAAATCCACCATTGGAATTTCAAAATAATTTCAAATATTCAAGAGTTTAAAAGGAAAAAATATGATTAAATAAAATAATGGAGGGACAAAAGACAACACCAGGGACACAGGAAAACTGTCTCACAGGCAAATCTCTACTTGATCCCCGCCCCACCCCACAAGCTGCTCCTCGCTCTTGCTCTTGCTATCCCTCTCTCTCTCTCCTCTCTCAACCTCCTTTGACCCCCCCTTTTCTCCCCGGGTCTTCCTGGATGGAGTCGATAAGGTTTTCCATTGCAGATTATTAAGCAGGATGTCTCACCCTTGGACATTATTTTATTCATGATTCATAATTTAAAATTCCATAATTATACTGAGAGTCATTGCAAAATCACTATGGTTAAAGAAATATGATAGCAAAATGAGGTTTTTTGTAAGGTAATGTTACATGTGTATTTTTTCTTCAGCTATCTGGCTTGGTGATCCTCATCACTGGGATTGTTATACGAATCAAGTACAAGGACTTTGTGCACTTTGCCCCTAGTCAAGTCTTCACAGCCCCAATTATACTCATCATAGTTGGTGTCATCATATTTGGGATTGCCTTCCTGGGATGCTGTGGGGCAATAAAGGAGAATAATTGCATGGTGATGATGGTAAGTTACCTTGGATACATTTGGAAGCTCCTTGGAAGTGAAAGATATGGTTCTTTGTATTTTATCCTCAATAAAGTACTTGTAGGTTATGAACAGTTCTTGGCTGATGTGAGGTCACTTGTGCATTTGGTCAAAACACAGTTTGAATACAGGCACTGATTGTTGCACTCACTTTGAAACTAGGGTGTTTTAGGGACTACAATGAAATCTTAATGCATCTCAATCCAGCTCTGGATGGAAATCTTAAATATACCTGTAGTCCATTGTAGCTTGTCAATTATTGACAGTCAGCAAGTAACATTGCTTCCCATAGAGTGCCACTTAAACACTTTGCACTTTTTTCTTGCTTTAAATGCTTTGCAAAGAGTTATACTTGGAAAAAATAAAATAGTGAAGTAAACCTGTGGGATGCCTTTCATGTCATTCATGCTTCAGGTTGATTCCTCACAAAATTGATAGGAAAATAGATGGGAGTTTGAACACAGAACTCCTAATCTAAGCCCCAAAATCCTGAAATAAACAACAAATTTCCACCTTTTAGTTGCTATGTCCCTAATTATCCTGTCCCTATTCAATTTTTGATAAATTCACTTCATCTTGAGTGCATTTTTCGTTAACTTTCCAGTTTATTTGCTCAGGAAATATATAAATCATCCACATAAGTATCACACCTCTTTTTAGATATGATGTCTATAGGGAGAAGAAATACCTCAGGCATTACATGTTTTCATTTTGAGTCCTTTCATTCCCTATGCAGGTGTAGTCATTGGCGAACCTGCCAAGAGAACTCCTCTTGCATTAATATAGGGTGGGTGATACAAATTTCAACCCTGCAATAAAGTCCACCCCCATGCTACATATTTCAATGTAATCATATGTATAAACAGCCTTTTTCAACCAAATTCCATAATTTGGTTGCAATTTGGTCCCCCTCACCCAAACTGTGGGTGAGGGGGCAGACTTTGAGCTTAAGGGGGTCGGAATTTGTATCACCTACCCTACTATTTTTTTTAATTAGAGAGTATGTCTTGATGGTGGTGTAACCCAAGTATGAGACTGAATGTATTTCTCTTACCCACAGTTTGCAGTGCTGTTGGTTGTTATCCTGATTCTGGAGCTTGCTGCTGGAATTGCTGCATATGCCCTCAGGGGTGATCTCAATGAATTGCTGAAGAACACAATGTTGGATACAATGCATTCCTATAATGACAGTAATGGGAAGGACATCACAACTGCTGCATGGAATGATCTCCAAGTCAATGTAAGTAGCTTTGCTTAGCACTTCTATGTTGAAGTTTTAAAAAATGCATTAGACCTCATGACATAATCCTCTGAGCCTGAAAGAATGTGATAATCTGGTGTAGTGGAACTTCAAGGCAAGTTCTTTCTTCCCCTCCCCAAATATGGATATTACTGCAACTATTACTTGGTATATTAATTTTTGTGGTTCTCACCATTACTGGTACTGATTGTACCATTGATGAGCAGAATAATGTCACTTCGTGAAAGTCATGAATATGCTCAACACTATGCTGTGTTTTCACATTGAGAGTGTTTTTGAGAAAAACCTGCACTTCCTTTGAATGTGAAGTTTGATTAAGGATTGAACTATGTTTTTGCTCACCCCTGAATCCTGTGAGAAGCTCCCTTTCTCATTTCATGGCTCTTAGGTTTTGAGAAGAAATTGGGAGGAGCTCAACATTAAGAAGAATTGTTCATTAGTATGAAGACATGACTTTTCTCATTCTCCTCCTTATGTGCGACTCCCCTTTCACGGGGAGCGTCGTATTTAAATACACCATCTAATGTTATTGCACCTAGCAAATCAAGTTAATTTACATCTTTTCCAGTTGATTTTTGCTGCATCAAGCAGATTTGTTATTCTGCCAACATTTGAAGGCTTTAGTTGGCATCTAAAATAGCCTGTTTTTTTTTCTAGGAAAATTGCTGTGGTGTTACTAACTACACCGACTGGTGGAAGCCTGGTCCCTTTGAAAAACCTCTTCTCCCTTCAACTTGCTGTGAATCTGAACAACTTGTCAATGGCAACTGCACTGAGATGAATGAATTTCATAGAAATGGCTGCTTTGGGGTATTGAGCGACAGCTTTGAAAAGAATGTGGGAATAGTTGGAGGAGTTGGAGTTGGAATTGCCTTTGTGCAGGTGAGTCATCAACATAACTTTTCTCAAAAGTAAGCCTCTATTAGGATTTGCCACAAGTTTCAAATTGGTTTATTCAAAAAGGGTTGTCAGGCAAAAAAGCTACCATCATAGTACATTTAATACATGTAGTTATACTCAAATCCATTGAGTTTTATGGCAGTGAAAGAAGCATTTTCAGATCTGTTCTAATGAGTGTAGTCTCAAGAGCAATGGCAAGTATTTGTTATCTGCTATTAGTGAACTGCAGATGTATGAAGCAGTGAAAGCATGCATATGCATGGTGTCTCAGAAGTATCATTTATGACCCCCTTAAAATTATCCTGATCCTATCTTCAAAAGGTGGTTGCAATTAATGTTGAGACCCTAAATGGGTATGAACATGTTCACATTTTCATTTGCTATGTTTTACTCATATAATTAGAGATCGACCAATAAATGAGATGCAGACAGAAAGTTTGTGTCATACACATTTTTAATTGCAACATCATTCAGACAGATGGCATGCTGATTCCTTGGACTGTGTCAGCAATTTGCATACATTCTGAATCAACTTGTTTGTCATTGCTGATGGAGTATCCAGGGCAGGCTTTTTTCTTCTGGAATGAGCTTCTGGAAAGCTCATTGTACACAGACTTAGTCTCAATATGCTTCTCAACTATAAATATTCTCTGCTCTGTTGATAGTTGGGCCATTGCTTACCTGTAACAATATAGAAAGAAACTTTGAGATAATCTATTAGCATTTTATTCAACATTGAGATCTTTAACAGAATAAAAGTTATGCAGCATTGAAACATATGCTTTTTTTGGTCCACCTTGTACAAGGGCTGTTTATTTAATTTATAGTATGGAGCTGTAAAACTATATTTGCTTTCTCCTCATCTGTCAGACTTCTGTCCTTTTGAAGTCCCTGCAATCAAACACATTTTATCCAACATTGCAGCCAATGTAACTCCTTAGTCATTGCTTTCTTAGCTTCATTGTCCGATGTGAAGTGTTTTCCCTTCAGCAGTGTCTTTAGGTGGTGAAATAGCCATAAATTACTGGGTACAAGGTCAGGTGAGTATGATAGGTGGGGTAAAACTTATGTCCTGATTGTCTTTTTGATGTCAATCACATTAGAGGCAACATGTAGGCAAGCATTGTCATGGTGCAGGAACCAGGAGGTCTGAAAAAGGTCTGGTCCCTCCTGATGGATAATTCTCTGCAGCTTTCTCTGCATAAGTCTCTGTATTCACCATCGTCTCTTGTTGCATGAAATGTGTCAGGATTATCCCTTTCGGAACCAAAGATGAGGATTGTCACAAATCTTGAATCAGTTTTTCTGTGTGGGAAATATTGTTCAGTGTCCTTGATGCTGATGGTTGGCCTGAGGGAGGATCATCTCCTTTGGATGGCCACCCTTTGTAAAAGCGTTTGTACCTCTTGGACACCATGGTTTTCTTGAACAATCATCACCATAGGTTTGCTGCATTTCATATAGCTTGGTAGTTTCCAACAAATCACGCCTCATACAGTGCTGATTGACATAATAGCGTTCGATTTTCAGTGAAACATCCATTGCAATAAAATTGGACAAAAGTGCCACTAAAATGAAGTTACAATTTAAATTACTAATCTTATGCACATGTCCATTCAACTGTGCAAGAACCAGAGCTACTGCAGCATCAAAAAGGCACAACTGTTGCCAGCAACTTAGTTTTTTTTTAAAAAGCACCTGCCTTATTCCACAAATTTAATGAACAACCTTTGTCTGTTTGACTGGAACTACTTCTTTCCTGTTAATCAGATCTGAGCAAAATGGGTATCAATGGGAAGCTCAAACCCTTTGGAATTTCCACATTAGTTGAGTTGTTACTAAATCTAAGGGCCTACACTCTATTTAATGTCACAAAGGTCATGCCATGGCTTGGTTTCCATGAAAATCACCCAAGTTTGAAGCTAACAAAGTTGGACAATTTTTTTTAAGCTCAGATCTTTGTTTGCTCAGAATGGGCAACTCCAGAGCACTCTGCATTCCTGTCTTGAGATGAGGGATGTTAAACAACCCCATAGGTGAAGGCCAAACCCCTAAGTAGTGAATACCTAGAGTAACCATGAGAGCCAAAATTGGTCTTCCTAGATTAGAAGTTACTTATGCCTAAGGCTGGTGGGTTGGTGCTGAAGTGAGAGGGTTTGTTAGTATTCCAGAATGAAGTTGTATTCATTGACCCATAATTCATAAGGTATTATGTGCAATCACTAACACTGTAAGACAGGGATTGTGTGGATCATGAGTTTGTATACTTATTTCTAGGGCTGTACTGATCCTTAGATCGGAGATCAAGCATCAGCCAATTCTGGTGTTTTTCTTGAAATCGGCCCAGCTATTCTTTCGATTTTTTTTTCTTCTCTGCATCAAACACATATCGCATCTCTTCTCCCTATTTCAATTTCCCAGCATTTTGTAGCAGGCCGAGGAACTCCTACAAGGAGACAGTGGTAGACATGATCTGCATTTATTCCAGAGAACGGAACTCAAAACTTGAAAGCACATAACCGTGTAGCACAAAGCAAGGTGCAGTCAGGGGGCACAACTTCTTCCTACTAAATGGCTGTGGATGTAGGAGCATGTGTGAGAAGCTGCTGCATTCCCATTGAATCATCTAAGAAGCCCTTGCTGTTAAATTAAAAAAAAAAAGAAATGCTGAAACCTTGAATTCCCTAAACCTTGCTTCCATTAAATGAGCAGAAGCCTAACATTAATTTTAGGCTTAGGCCTCTAGATGCAACCTTTGCATGTGCAGCATGATGCCAACGGTATGGCCTATCCTAGCCTAGGTCTTTATTTTCTTGTGTTTTCCCAATTATAATCATGTGAAATGCCAAAGCAGTTCTGTTACATAGTATTCAAACAATTGCCCCAAACCAGAAGTGATATATATCTCTTTCTTACAATATAACACTCTTAGTGAAAACAGAATTTGATATTTATGGCTAATTTTCCTGTGGTATAGAGCACTATTTGTGATTTTTGAAAATCTCATGATTTTTTTTTAAAAAAAGGTTCATTGTAGAGGTTTTTCACTTCATGCTTGATGTAGAACTGATGCACCTAATTCAAGTTAACTCTTTCATGGACACTGGGAAGGATTCTTCCCAAATCGTTTGATCCCAGTGCCCTGGGAGGACTTCCTCCCACTCTTTCACACTCGCATAATCTATTGGTGACCATAATAGATCAGGAAAGGTTCCCACCTCGAATATTAAAATTTTTTGTTGGGGGGGGGGGGGGAAACTGGAATTGCTCTTAAATAAAGCCTCCATAAGTGGGAAATGAAAATGTACTGAAATTTGTCATTTACACATGTGAAAAAAATTTCCCACAAAAAAGTTTCTGTTGGCTTGATTGCACTAACTGCAAAAAATACCTATCCCATAGACATGTGCAAAGTATCAGTCAACTTTCAAGAACAGATATCAGGAATCTGTTTATCAGTCAAATTTTTGTATTGATACAGCCCTACTTATTTCCTTTAATATAAGCTACTAATATAGCTCTTTGTAATAAAAATACCCAACAGTATAGTAGTGCCTGTGTTACAAGTATGAAAGGAACAACAATGAAAGAAAGCTGGCATGAGCAGGAATTGCTTTCCCAGGTTCTTATATATAAAAATGGGACTGACAAATATAAGAGAGACAATGTTCCAGAATCTGAGATGGAAGGGGGGGCAAGGGGAAGAGGTCGTTCAACTCATCATCCTTCAGACAGAGAAGGATTGAGCATAGACATTAGAGAATTTTGGTTACCTGTTCTTGAGAGGAGAGCAAGGGATGCAGGACAGCTGACATCACCAGCAGTTTTAAAATGCATGAGGAAGATGTCTAAGACATGGAGGGACTCTTCCAGCCATTCTCTCAGGAACGTGATTGCAATGCAAGATCCACCAATCAGGAAGGACTTGATAGGCACGTGAACTTCAGTACAACACATGATTCGTTCAAGTCAGTCATCCATGAAGGAAAGCTAATATTGATGGCAAAGCAACTGAAATTCAAGGCACAGTATATCCAGGTTGGATTTATAGACAATTGTCTCGTGTCTGCAGCAAGGGTTTCCCAACTGATAAATGTATGCTTTGCTCAAGATGGGTTTCTTGACAATTATATCATATCCACAACTTGGGTTTTAGCCAAATATCCCCCAGGACAGCAACTGACATGTCCTCTTCCCCATCAGAGAAGTAGGATACAACCCAGACATGAACTTTGGTTACTTTGCCATTAGAGATGGACAGCATAATACGTTATTGGGGATGGTGAATGATGGGAAAATAGGACTGAGGAACTCTGGTAGTAGCCAAGGGTTGCAATGTCTACATGTGACCATGATGAATAGACAACAGAATGAAGAACATTAATCCAATTAATTAACAATTAACATTAAGAACATTAATCCAACTGAGGCATTCATTCCTAAAGTGAAAAACCCTTCTTAATGAAAGAAAATTTAATTACTGTTGATCCAAACAAGGGGGAAATGCATAACATTTAGATATCTGGGGATTTGTGAGTTTACCAGGTTGTACCTTAGCTGTTTATCACTCAATCCACCATACCCTTAAATTAGGTGTCATTTGCATACCATCTACGGTGAAATCTGTGGATGTTACTCTCTGTTCCAGATCTGGAACGCGTCGCTAAACTGGCTTTAAAAAATCTAAATCTTGAACACCTAGTAATACGTTTGCATCCCTGTCCTCAAAAACAGGTAACCAAAACTCTCTGTTAAGGGTCAAGACATTTAAAGTATGATCATTCAAATTGAATAGGGGCTAGTATAGGCAATATTGTGTCCAGAGACTTTCTCCAACTACTGTACTTATGGATATTGGCAGCATTATCACCTTTATAAGTAGAGATTTGTCTACCCTTTATACCTCTTCTGAAAAATTAATAATTTGTTTAAACAAACTGTACTTGAAATCTGGAAATTAATGCATTGGCATTCCCTTCTGTGAGTGACTTGGGAAAAGTTGAAAGTAATTTTCCTCTGTTTACCTTTTTTTTTTGTGAATTGTGGTGTTTAGAAACCAAGGCATTCACAAATTAGTTGCCAAAAAATGGTACCAAGGCAACTGAATTTCAATGGCAATGGATTAATGACAGATAACAATTTTAATTTCATGTAGATGTAGAATAAACAGCCATTGAAGCACCCAAATAAAGTTTTGTTCCCATGATGATGGAGCAGTGCTACAGTGATTGCCATTCTTTGAATGTGGCTTGTATCAATATTATTTTGAGATCTTGTTCTGGTAATTTTTGTCTTGACTGCAGCACTCCCAGGATTATGCTTCCATATTTATTCAATATCTCTTTTATATCTGATGTTTCCATTGTAGGTAGCAGAAATTCTCCTTGCCTGTTGCCTTTTCCGTCATTTGCGCAGACTTCGGGAGGTTGTTTGAGTTCTATGCCACATTTGTTCCTCATTAGATTCCATCTACTTCCTTCTAGATGGAGAATGAGGGTATTATGTACAATCTTTTAAGCAAATATTGTATGTATGATTTCAGGACCTATGTATGATAATCCAGATATATATCTCTTTCATGGTAGCATTTTGATTCCTTTCTCTCATTTTAAACCTTCCACATGAAGGTTATGTTATCTTTGGATTGTCTTTTAGCTATGGAGAGGATACAGTACATTCTCAGAGTATTCTACTCATCATTGTTTAAAGAATGTTGGTCACCCCTTGTCACTCAGCCTGCAATTTAGGAATTTGACTTTAAAAATTTTAATTTTTTAAATTTAAGCATGCATGTTGGACTTCTCAGGGTAGCACTCTTGAATGCATATCATTATATAGTCAACAAACTTTCCCAAGTTTTATATTGCTACCTGGGGCCTGTTCTGCAGAAAATTTACAAGTTAGAAACTAAAAATGATCATCATTTTGCAGTTACAAGTGTTATATCAGCCCTCCCAGCAAGTCCTATTGGAAGGGCTAAATAATAAGGCATGCCCCTTGAAAGTGCAAGCACTAACTTGACAATCATCTCTAGAATAGGTCCTTGGAGTTTTGTAATGGTTTTATTCCCTTGCATTTTGTTGGTCGTTTTTTCAGCGAGGCATTATTAAATGTGGCAGTTTTTTGTACAAATATGATTCATGTGCATGTTTATCTCTTCCCTTATCCTCATGGCATGACTACAAGCCTAGTTCAATGCATGTATAAAGTCATTCACAAAATGTAGAATGTCAGTAACCCTGGAATGTTGCTGTAAAATCTTAGCTCACATTCTTATATTCCAATCTTGAGTGCTATCTGAATTATTAGGAAGTCTGCAGTTATGAAATAGTGGGATTCAAGTGACATGGTTCTTCATTGTACTAGATGTGCAGAGTACTTTGTACCTTCTTGGGTTGAGTCTTAATCCATGACATCCTGCTACAGTGAATGCCCCATTCCTGCTTATTTGTTTCCTAGGCCTGGTTCTTCTGTCAGACATGAGTTACTGTAACTTTTCTCTTTTCACAGGTGATTGGTATCGTCTTTGCCTGCTGCCTTTCCCGCTCTATTCGCAAGGGCTATGAAACCGTCTAAGATTCCATCTGGACTTTTCCTTCATCTGCCTGCATACCTTCAACTTTCCTTTCTTTCTTCTCTGAAAATGATGTTTATTTGCTATCCTGCCAAGTTCTGAGAAGCTTCCCCCCCTCTCATCTCTTTTTGTATTGATTTCATGTGTGTTTGAGCACTCCCAATGTGATATATGAAAATGGCTGTCTTGCACTTGTAGTGACTGCCATTGTGCACGCCATGGGTCCTCATGTGTTAACTGGAGTGCCATGTTTTTTATTTTTACCCTCACTATGTTGGGAGTTAGTCTTCTGACATGAGTGAATCCATTGAAGCCTCGTCATGACTGGCATTTTGTTTTCCTTTAAGTATTGGGATGTGACCAATCAGGATACTTCGAAAATCTGGTTACTGCCAGTCATTGTCGTGATATCCTTTGCTGATGCGGGCAAGAAGTTTCTCATAAACGGTCGCTATTCTGCTGTTTCCCTGTACTCATGAAACTTTCAGGTGTATGTTGTAAATCAGTTGAATAAATAGTGTCATAAATGTAATCCAGACTCCAATCATTTCCTTCTTGTTTTTCATTTATGTGGGCTGTTCTATAAGTAATGACCATCCCTCAAAAAAACACAGGTTCTTCACCTTGCTGAAGTTTCATATTTAACCCTTTCAGACCCAGCGTCCATTCCAATGAACATCGCATTTTCATTGCGTCTATGGTAATTCTTTGGGATTCTCGTGACTGCGCCTCATATCACTCTACAATGGATGCAATTATGCATGGCTCAATTCCATCGGAAGCCTTCTCTCACTCATCGGTTTTGTAATCTTCAGTTACTTACTGTTCATTACTGATCGCACGTGTCAAAGATGGTTTACCAGATTCCGTTCCGGTAACTTCAGTTTGGAGGATAAACCACGGGCCGTCCGCCCTTCCGACGTCGATGGCCATAAACTGCGGGCCTTCATTCAGGCAGTTCCTCGCCAAGCATCTACAGAAATGGGCGAGAAACTTGGAATTCACCAGACAAATGCCCTAAAGCACATTCATCGGCTTCGTTTTTTTTCTAAAGAGCAGCGCTTGGGTATCGCACGATGTCAAAAAAAAAACTTGCTTGATGGGGTCAACATATGTGTTATGCATCGCTCCCGTCAGCTCGCAGAGCCTTTTTTGGATCGAGTGATTAGTGGTGACAAAAAGTGGGTTCTGTACAATAACGTGCAACGAAAAAGACTATTGTGACGCAGGACATCTTCAATTCCTACCCCAAAGCCCGAGCTCCACCAAAGCATGGTTATGCTCTGTTGCTGGTGGGATTGTGAGGGAGTTGTCTACTATGAGCTCTACTCTGAGATCCAACGAAACTATTAATGCCGACCGTTACTGCCAACAACTCGAAAATCTCAACGCAACTCTCTGTATAAAGCGTCCATCTTTGTAAACAGAAGGGGCGTCGTATTTAACCACGACAATGCGCGACCACATGTGGCGATGAAGACTCAACAAAAATTGAAGGAACTCAACTGGGAAAGTCTAGCCCCTCCAGCATATTCCCTTAACCTCGCACCGTCGGACTTCCATTTATTCCGATCGCTGCAGAATCATCTCAGTGGAAAAAAAAAACTTCACCTCCTTTGCAGTTGTCGAAACGGTCATTGAGAACTTCGCATCCAAGCCGGAAAAATTTTACGCGGATGGAATTGGAAAGTTATCCAACAGATGGGAGAGAGTCATCGCTAATAATGGAAATTACATTCAAGATTAAATCAGTTAATAAACTAAGAAAAAAAATCATCAAGTAGTTTCACTTCAAAAACTGACCTTCGCTTAGACCCAATATGTTCAAGGGTCTGGATCCGTTCCATTGGTCTCAAGAAACTCCAAAAGAGGACTTGGTTTTTCCCCGTGACCAGAAATGGTGGATTTCCCAAAACTGTATGTTCACTTTTAAATCTTTGCCTGGCAACAGCTGGGATAGTCTGCTGCTCGCATCAAACAGGATCTGAGTGTCTTCATGGGGGGGCTGCTTCTCTTCGATTGAGACGATTGATATAGCTTGGTGGATATATAACGGTGGATATAGTTTTCTCTATGGAGTATTGCTCCTTTGAAGATGATGACCGCTCTGGACGCCCTCCAATGGTGGTGAACCAGGATACAGTTGTCTGCTACCGAAACTTAGTTGAGGCCAACCCAAGAAAAATCTGTTATTTATCCTCCAAGTTGGCACTACACATTCTCTCATGTATGACTAGGCAAGAGAATAATTTTCTCTCGATGGGTCCCCCATCGATCGAGTGACCATGTGTGAGGTCAGTGTGAGGATCAGTCCTCAAATGCTTGAAATGTTTAACCCTGGTGGCTCAAAACAGATCACAGACATTATTGCAGGTAAATGAAACCTGGATTAGTCACTTCATAACTCCAAGCAAGCAAAACAACAAGGTTTGGTTAGGAGATGAGCCTCAGCCAGATGTCCTCAAACCTTGATTTTGCTCCAGGCAGGGGATTTATTTATTTATTTATTAGAATATCGTATTTTATTTAATGAGGGCCTGAGGTTCTGGACATAATGCATGAGGGGGTAACAAGCACTGGAGTGTTTTACTCTGGAGTTATGCTCCCCGAGGTTTTGGCTGAGATGAAAATCCAACTACCATTTGGCAGGAACAACAGAATTTGGTGCCATCATGACAATCCTTCCAGTCAACTCACGGGTGACCCATACGTTATTGGAAGAAAATGAAGCTGAAGTCTTCCCCCATCCACCTTATTCTCCTGATTTCACCACCCTGGACTTCTGTCTGTTCTGTAAAACATGGCTGGGAGACAATTTAATTGAATTGAATACTGTAGTAAGTCTGTACAGGCAGTGCTTCAGGGAGTACTACAAAAAGCCAATAAAATGGCATTTCCAAAGTATATAGTTCAGGAGGATCCAAAGGTCTGGAAACGTTGATGAGAATGATATTGAAGAACCCTGAAGTTTTTAAATTCCAGTCAGTAAAATTAACTACGTTTTTCAGTTACGATCATTACTTCTAATATATATAGACGATCGTGACTGCCTGACTGACTGACTGACGCTAATTCTAACCATGTTCTAGAAGGGTTAGAAATCTGAAACTTGGTACACATGAACTGACTGACTGACTGACGCTAATTCTAACCATGTTCTAGAAGGGTTAGAAATTTGAAACTTGGTACACATGTAGCTTTTGGGATGTAGAGTTCAGAAAAAATCCGACTTTGGAGGTACATGCCCTGAGGGTACACATTATGGGGGGAAAGGTTTTCCTGAAATATATTTTGTGACGAGGATTTCATTCAGTGAGTCAGCTCGATGTGCATGGTTCGGTGGTGTAGTAGATAGCATATCTGACTGGTAATCTATTAGGTGCGGGTTCAATTCCCGGCCATTCCTAGGGTTCCTTTTGGTCTTTTTTTGCCTTCCATGTTCCATTACTCATTCCCCTACCATAACATTATTTTTGCTTCAGTAAAACGGAGTGACATGGAAAGCTGAAACTTCGCATGAATGTGGCAACTTGGAGAAGGAGTTAAATAAAAATGTCAGGTCTCGATACATCCCCTGGGGGAATTTTTTCGAGGTGCGATTTTTTGAAAAAAAATTGTCGTGGCGAATTGGACAGAAATGGAAAGGTGAAACTTGGAACATGTTTATGTGACATGATATTACTGAGCTGAGGGAGTATTCAGCTTTCATGGTGCATCCCCTCCGGGCATAGCTGTTGCATGGGTCGGTTATTCCAAACATGCTTTTTCCACAGCGGGAAGCGCAAATGTATAATATTGAAACTTTGCGTTCATGTAGTTCACTGAGGATGGATTTCAGTAAAAAAAATGAAAGAAGATACTTTTTGGTTAAAACGGCTCAGGGCACATGTTTCCCAAATGGCGTGTTTTCCCGAATTTTATGATCAGGAAAACATAGGGCGCTAGAAAGTTTAAACTTGGCAAAGAAGTACCTAATGGATAGCTGAGTAAAGAAAATATTCTACTTTTATTATACATAGACGAACGTGAGTAGCTGACTGACTGACATAATTAGCTATTCGCATGTTGAGTCAAGGAAAGGTTCTACTTTGGTGATGCATGCCAAAAGGGCGCACCTTTTCGGGGAACATATTTTCAAATAGTTTTCTTTGCTTCAATCAAACGGAGAAATATGGAAAGCTGAAACTTGGCGAGAACGTGACCGCTGACGCACTAAGCTCAAATGTCAAACGTCAAATTTCCAAAGTAT